CGCCATGTTGTAATATATTCAAAGTCACGCTTAACTCAAATATTATGGACGGAATATAAAACAGTATAGAGCCAAGTGGTATCGGGCTTGTCAATACGTTCATAAAGCGGACTTGGTTGAGGATCAGTACAGTGTACTAAGTTTCTCAGTACTCTAATAAAGACGAATTATGTGATGATCGATTGATAAAAGTGGACTTAGTTGAGGATCAGTACTTTCATAAAAATGGACTCCGGTAAGGATAAAAACGGTATACCAAGTGTCTTAATACTTTCATGAAGTATCGTGTTTATTAATTTTTTGATAACGTGGGCTTAGTAGAAGATCCATATGAGATTATTTGTTAGAAACCCATACACTGTAGCGTTTAGTTAAAACTTCCAAAAATGTAATAAAATTTGCAGTACTATAAAGTTGAGTGGCTTCACAAAATTGTTAAAGTTTACACGAATTTTAAAACAAACGAAATTCAGAATATGTTTTATAAAATATTAACTTGTTTGACGAAGTATAATTTCTGGCTTAATTTACAGCAATGAAAGATAAGATGTAGGAGAAGTCATAGGACTAAAACAAATCTTTTGGTAACTGGCCAAATAAAGGTATTGTTTATCTTAAGCAACACCCTTCGTCTGGTTTATAACATGACTCACTCAAAAGAAACCATAAGAAATTACCATTGACTGTTTCTAAAATATGTTTTTGCGATTTAAATATTTTTGTCGGGAGTTCGATGACATGAGATTCTAAAGAAAAGTAATACTCTGAACAATAAAATTAAATTATACTGGTAAAAGTTATTTTTATCCGTTAAAAACAAATGTATCATAAAGTGTTTATTAAAGTTTGTGTTAATTTTCACGGGTGATTATCGTTTTTTTTTCTGTCATATTTAATTTAACATTTTTCTAACAAAAGGTTTTCTTTTAACTAATAACATACGATGTTATTAGTAAATGATAAAAAAACGACAGTTTATAAAATATTATGATACTGAATTAAGAAATGGCTATTATATTCTGTAAAAATAAATAAAAACAACCAGTTCTTACTTTTGATATTAAAATTTATTTCTCGTTGTCCTGGACGGGATTCTGACTTCAAGTTCGTCACGGTAAATACCATACTTTCCATGGTGACGTCATTCACGACGTCACCAGCTTGTAATTCGAGAATAGAGGTGTTTGCTACAGCTATTGACCTTCGACGTCTTTGAAGACTTTGTGTATCATCAATTGTACAGTCGACCTGAGAACAAACACTGTAGGTGTGGTGAAATATGCAACACAATGAAAGAAAAGGAACAAAGAACCGAAATGCTTACAAAAATCTTTAGAAACAGTAAACAAAATATGTACGTTCAGGCTGTGAATACTCAGAATAATGTAAACGGATTATTAAAACTAATATAAGTTTATATGCTGATAAGTGTTTTGTATGTCACCAAACTTTGTTTCATTCACTTCAGAAGAAAGCGTATTTGTTAGAAAAAACTGTTAGCTAAGAAACCTGCCAAAATTAAAAAGGGGTAAAACACAGCCTCGGTTCAACTAACCTATTCTATTCTAACCTAGTCCCGCTAATTTATTCTAACCAACTAACAACAATTCTAACTTTCTAACCAATCTGGTACCAGGTCATCTATTCGAACCTGTTAACAATCTGGTTCTAGCCAACCAATTCTAACTTTTGGTTGTTCTTTCCATCTTACTAAGTGACGTTAAGTAATAAATCGACATGTCTCTCGATAACTGGTTGTTCATTTCCTCTCACTAAGTGACGTTAAGTAATAAATCGACATGCCCCTCTGACAGCACGTTAGTAATTCCATATTACAAACACAAACATATCTTTGATTCGGGGCTTCACAATAACTGTAAACATAGCTCGTAAGTTAGGCGGTACATTAAAGTTCCATCTGTAAGTCCGAGTCTTCCATTTTCCTGCATGACGGTTTTTCTGCATAACGCATCATAATGGTAGGAAGAATAAAACAACGGCGAGGATAAACTATGATTTGAAAATTTCCTGCGAAATAAAGCTATTAACATACTTAAATAGAAATGCGTAACATTAAAACAAAAGTGTGATAAGAAAATAAAAAACAAACAAACACACATTATTAATTGCATCTACGCTTTAGTATCTTCCTGTTCCACATGTGTAATCCCTACTATAGATATAGTCGGGACAAATGAATAAATACGGAGGGTTAAACTCCATTTATAGAAACGAGTTTATAGGACCCATACTAAAACTGATTATTTGCTGTCATCGATCATACTCCGTGTGATGGCCATGATTGATTATCTATTGTTGCTCCTCACCACAATTTGCATTGTAAAGAAGTTTGTGCAAAGTACTTCGAGGTCAATTTTAGACCAGATAGAATTTCAACAGACCTCCACTACCACCGAACATGCTCGCCCTTTCAGCCTTGGGATCGTTATAATGTGAAGGCCAGTTCTACTATTCGTTGGTAAAAGAGTAGCTCAAACGTTAGCGGTGGGTGGTTTTGACTATTTGCCCTCTAGCCTATCAGTGCTAAGTTAGGGATGGCTAACGCAGATAGCCCTCGAGTAGATTTGTGCGAAACTCAAAACAAACCCAACTCTCCACTGCACGAGATATTTCGCTATGAAATCATGTTTAGCACACCAAATGCACAGAAATGTATGAGTGCGCAGTCGGGTGACTTCACAGGTATGTCGGTGAAAGGGTATCGTGAACATCGTTATCATTCTTCATGGTTCGTAGAAATACTGCTGCAGATTTTAGTGCATGACTTGATGTTTTACCCTGATGTAATCATATCTTATTGGCATCCCAACTTTGGTAATGGTATCTGCAGTTCTGCATGTGGTAGGGTATTGTTTAGGTCGTTTTACGACGTCATGCAAATGTGTTGATGCTGATGCTATTCATTATGGTATAGAGACATCCATCTTTGAAATTGGCTTTGCATCCAATTGTTATATTGCTCTACTGGTAATCTTCTTCAGAAAGGCTGTGACGGATTCCACCAGCTAAAAGTTTGCACGTTACCACATCTCTAACATTTACAGATGTGATCATAAACGAAATGAGCTGTTTTACTCACACGCTTTCCGACTGACCTTAGATCACCTTCAAATGAGAAAACAACAATAAAGTTAGCAAATGCATACAAATTTATCACATCGCTAACACTTAGACATTTAATGATAAACGAACAGTTCATTTATTAAGTTTACGCGTTGTGACATTGCACTATCGAATAGTCAGGAATTCGCATGAACCAAATACATATGTCGCCATTACTTTCATCTATTCCAAAACTCCATTGTATTATAAAGTGCGATTAACTTTCAGACAGTAAAACGAAAAATGGATAAAAACCAATCTCTGCGTATATTACAGGTATCTATGGAATAATTGGAAGAGGACTTGTGGCACGAAGTGGTCAAGGGCTGGACACAATTCTTTTGATTGATGATCGTGGGTAAGTTTTATTTCAGATAAAGAGACTTATAAGATAGTGAACGGAATAAGATTATTTGAAATAATGAAAGAAAATATAAACTATATAAACATAAGATATTCTAATGGAATGTCAGTCTGCATTCCAAAAATATTCGGAGGCAGTTAACTGTTACTACTTGGTTATGCTAACCCTAACAGCTCTAAGTCATTATATTCATTCCGTCTTTCAGGTGTTCTGTGGAACCCAGTGTGTTTCCTTCGTTAAGTCCTGTACAAGGGTCTAAATCTCTTCAAGCTCCTTTTCAGGCTTTTAAATTTGCTTCAGACAGCACAGTTAAATTTCAGATGACGGTATCCTTTTGTCTAGATGTCTGTCCACCGGTAAGTGTTGAAAGTTGTAATTAGAACTCAACAGAAGAAACAAATAGAAACTAAAAGATAACCCCAGGAGATAAAATGTAAAAATGCTTAATTTGTTTGGACTCGATCAAGTCGTAAGTAGTTGGTTTGTAACTCTAATAAATTACGAAAAAGTGAGTATGTTTAACAAACCTTGATTAAAAGGATTTATGAATAACAAACATGTTTTATTTTATCTCGAGACAAACGGTATAAAACAAATAATGAGGTCAAGGTTTTTATTTTAACAAATAACAAGTAAATAAAATACACCACACCGTGGTCGTTATTCTTTTCACGCGGCAAATTTCAACACGTCCCTAAAAACAAATAAACTAATATTTATTGTTTTTAAAACCTTTCAAAATAATGTTGACGCAAACGCCGGAATTCCTTTGTTTGTCAAGAGTAGGAAAAGTTTATAAAACCACCGAAGGCTGTAGTTGATAATACCCACAACACATATAGCCAGCAGTTGTGGAAAAGCAAATAAGCTTATACTTAGCTGAAAGCAAATAACAATAGGTTAGCTGGGAGCAGACTGTTTGTTTGTTTAAAGTTAAGCACAAAGCTACACAAAGGGCTATCTGTGCTCTGCCCACCACGGGTATTCAAACCCCGGTTTCTAGCGCTGTAAGTCCACAGACATACCGCTGTGCCACTGGGGGGGGGGGGGCAGGAGGAGATTGTTAACAGATCATAATTGGTTAGAATACATGAGTTGAGACTAAATTACTATACTATAATAGGTGAGCTGTGTTAAGTGGGAGCAGGCTTATTAGCAGGTTAGAGTAAGTTAGTTGGGTTAAGTGAGAGCAGGCATTAACAAGTTAGGATAGATGAGCTGGGGCCAGATTGTTAGAAAGTTAGAATTGGTTGGCTAGAACCAGATTGTTAACAGGTTCGAATAGATGACGTGGTACCAGATTGTTATAAATCTACATGTCTCTCGATAACATTACTTAACGTCACTTAGTGAGAGAAAATGAACAACAAGTTATCGAGAGACATTTCGATTTATTACTTAACGTCACTTAGTGAGAGGAAATAAACAACCAGGCGTCACTTATCATACGTAGCCGACCCTCGACAAAAAAAAAAAAAATCCTTCCTCTCTAATAAGGTAGACTTTTTTTTCTAAATTTCCAAACAAATTACCTACTTTCATCTAGCATCTCTACTTGAAGAAACAAAAGGTCTCCCAGTTCCACTCCATTAACATCTTTTCCCGATTCAGTGACGACTCGGAGCTGGACTGTTGGAGTTGGAGCTAAACCCGTAACGACCTGAGGCAGACTTTGGAATTCCCTATATTAAGAACAAAGAGTGTGGAAAGCTTTCTAAACTTACAGACTAGCCAGGAATTGCTTCTGGAAGTACAGATCGTTTATGGGTCATTTAGTATAGTCTTGTAAAACAACTATTCTAACACTATAGTAAGTCAAAGTAAGTTAGCTGAAAGATTACACATTTATTTACTAATAAACATTACGTACTAAACAACTCTTGTTTTACTTTAAGAAACATACAAAATTCCATCTAGGTCTCACAATACTTGAACCAACTCCAACTAGGTGTATATAATATCGAGAAAATCACAAATTTGAGTATAAGCTGAACTTTATTTGAAGTGTTTTAGTAAAATTTTTATAAGCGGTTTTGTGAGATAAGTGCCACTTTTCAGGTATATTGTGAGTTGTTTTGTTGCTAAACACAAAGCTACACAATGAGTTATCTGTGCTGTGCCCATTACAGGTATCGAAACCCGGTTTTTAGCGTTATAAGCCTTGAGATTTACAGTTGTGCCACTGGGGGTTCCATATATTTGGGAAAGAGAAAAGTTAAAAACTATAAAAATTAAACACTACAAATAAAACTAAATATGTAACATAACCTGGAAATAAAAAAATAATTGTAAATAACAGTAAGAGCAACTACAAACTAACACGAATATTTGAAACTAAGATCATATTACAACATTAAATTCTGTTTTTTGTTTTTATTCTTTCTGTGAGAAAATTTACATCCAATAGCTTTGAGTTATTCTTCAAACGTCGTTAAAATCACTTTCTTTATAATTTACTAACACATATATTATTTAAAAAGGCTTTAATTAAAAAATCTAAAGAAACATTTTCCACCCTAAAAGCTCATTTTTCTTTTTCATTACAAGTCCGAAACAGTAAATCTTTTCTTTCATATTACCAAATTTTTGTTTAACACCTTGAGTGTTAATGAGACAAAATGCGAGAAATCCGTTAGGCTTCAGTGGGGTGTTAAGATTTCCGTTATCCAAATTAGAGCCAAAAAATAAAAAGTAGTCCGGTAAGTGTTTCGATCTATTAACCTAAAAACAACAACTATAACACTTTACTGTCAAGAGAACTCAAGTCTCAATAGTTTTCGGATTCAAAGACACGAAGTTTAGCAGATTTTGGTAGACTGTATTTCTCTAGCACAAAATAGAAGTGTTCACTTAGCCACTTTACAATGGCAGGTAAACTTCGTTAAACCTTCCTCAGCCATCTCTCTACACAGAACTCGTAAAAACCGCAGAGAAAACGGCTTTATAGATCTGAGAAACCATATATTGTATTGCCTAACGTGAGCAGCCACTAACTGATTTTATGGGAGATTTTGGATTGAATTATGGGTTTTACTCTCTCATATCCTGGAAACTGGTGAGCAATTAAAAACATGAGATAGAGTACCAGAAAGTGTTGTTTGGGAATCAACCCGGCAAACATCTGTCCCTGACTCGCAGATTAGGTGTTAAAACATTCACGAATGTGTTTCTGTAAGGTGTAAGAAGTTTTAACTGGTGGAGTTTAGCATTTAGTAAACTACTTCAGTACCCAGTATGACATTTGGTGATCTGCGTTAGTACCTATGATATTTTGTGAACTACGTTAGTACCTATGATATTTGGTGAACTACATCAGTACCTAGTATGACATTTAGTAAAATACATCAGTACTTAATATGACATTTAGTAAGCTACGTTAGTACCTAGTATGACATTTAGCAAACTACATCAGTACCTAGTATGACATTTAGTAAACTACATCAGTACCTAGTATAACATTTAGTAAACTACATCAGTACCTAGTATGACATTTAGTAAGCTACGTTAGTACCCAATATGACATTTAGTAAACTACTAGTACCTAGTATGACATTTAGTAAGCTACGTTAGTACCCAATATGACATTTAGTAAACTACATCAGTACCTAGTATGACATTTAGTAAGCTACGTTAGTACCCAATATG